CTTCATTTCCATCTTCCAAGCATTGTATCCAATGTCGCCCAGATGGTAGGTAAACACACTTCGCGGGTACTTGACTCGGTGTGACTCTACAGCAGCGATCAAAGGATCAAGTATAGGCAGATAGTAGTCAACCGAAGGTTGAAGATCAGCTGTGAGGGCGCGAGGGGTCGTTCAAGCCTCGGTGGTTGGCGACTTGCTTGACTGAGAATTGGCGAGCGCTGCGGCGACAATCTGATCTATTGTCGCTTGCTGAGCTAAGGTGAAGTCAGACATTTCTTCAACTTCCCTATCTTCTTTCAGTGTATCCTCAGTGGTCTGTAAAGGCAGATAAGTGCTGCTAGGAAAACCGTAACACACAGGCGTAGTAGTTTCTCGTGCGCTTCGACGCATTGACATACGTGGAAGATGGAATATGGAGACCGTTTTTTATGTATGGCAATCGAGTTAGCGAAGTTCCGAGGCAGAGAAAGAACGCTACAGAGGTAGGCGCAACTTAAATAATTTTCCGGCTTGCTCCGGAGACACTCCAATCAGCGAACTGACTAGAAGGCACCTACTTGGAATGGTAGGCAAGAAGTCGTTGGTTAAGTCGTGCAGCAGAGGTGCGACAACGCAGTTAATGACTGGCAGATAATATGCTTCTCAGCAAAGGTTGTATTGGTTTTTTCTTATATTACAACCGACCTCAGGTTGACACTAGAAGACTCCCTCGAAATATAAAAGAGTAATTGCTTTGTATTTGGACCTAAAGCTACGCACAATAACTAAAAGAAAAGACAAGGAGAGAAAGAGGTCTGTAGCCTCGCTGGGCTGAAAACTCCACCAGCTCGCTTCCGGGACCAACGCTTACTCAACCAGACTTCACATCACGTGATACCATTATCCTATCATCTGTAAACTCAAGCCGTAACATCATTGACATTTCCCCAACTGCCTGATCAAATTTAAAAGGGCTAGTACAATTCTGAATAGATTCAAAGATATTTGAGTCACGAAAGAAGTGGTGCAATGCACCGGTATCATAGAGGTATGGGAATTGATTTTTGCTTCGTCCTGCAGCAGATAACATAACAGCACTGTTTATTCCACTCTCATCCTCGCTACTTTCTTCAAATTCTATCTCCGCTTCGGCAACAGCCTTCTGTTTACCTTTCCTCTCTGTATTTTTCCTTCGGCCCTGTGTCCTTCCTTTGTCTTTTTCTCCATCAAGAAGTTCTAGGTGCTACTTGAAGCATTCCTTGTTCCTATGTCTATGCCAACATTGGAGGCACATTGCCTCTGGGTCAACACTGCTAACATTGGGATCTGCTGCAACTAACATTCTGGGCTTATTTTGGGGACGGTTCCCTCCAGCTGTACGGATGGTTGACATCATTTTTTCAAGAGATGTTGGACAATTATCCGGCCCAATGGCCTTCGTGTCGCGCCAGTTGCTCAACCACTCGACGTCTTTTGTGCCTATGAGGAACAGACCTGCTGCAACCTCTTTTGAGATCTTGTATCTGTTGTAATTAAGGCAGCAACATGACTGCAGTAGACAAATAGTACATATTAGAATAATATGCACTGGCGCCATAAGATATGATTAACCCATATCATCACTCACTGGCATGAATAGTAGTTAGCCAATAGATGCCTGAAAGCATACATTGGTTTCAGGATCTCCAACAACCTTCCCGTTTAGGTTAGATTAGGAAGTATGTTGGAGTTCACACTAGTGTGCGGAAAACCCCGCTTTCATGTATATAGAGGGACTTCTTGCCACACATATAGAATTATAGCAATTTAATCACAATTAACTATCCATTAAACATCAGTAAACTTCTTCGTATAGTAAACACATTTATTGTATCTCTTAATCAAACTCGAGGCTAGTGTGTAATTCTTCCAATCTCCGGAACTAATTTCAATTGTATCTGTTGGCACTGGGGTCTCTCACAACTGAGTCGAGCTGCACCATTGCTTTTGATGAACTGCACAATCTTTGATATTGTGTCAGGAATCTGTTACAGTAGTCATCTAAAGTGCAGGTGAATCTGACACTGATGAATGACTCCAGTGCTGCAACATATGGCGCGACTGCTGTTGCTTCCCTTGACCGAGAAATATCTTCGTAGAGCTGCGCCACCATTAGGTGTTCATGGTTTTCAAGCCAGGTATCTGCTGAAAGCCTTTCCATGATGATGTCATTGGCCTCGAATTCGCCCATTTTCCACACCTGTAGCACCTCTCTGTATGCCTTTTCTTTTTCGGCGAGCGAGCTTTCGGTATCGCTCTCTAGTCTTGCAGGCTGTACGGGCCTGGTAGCTGGAATTATGTCCTCAAGGTCTTGGAACACATGTCCAATGACGTTGCGCCTTGAAAGCTTTGAGAGCTGACTTGATTTCCATCTGCTGAATGGAACTCCTGACTCTAGGATCACTCTCTTGTTGCTGGACGACATCTTTTGGGTGTGGTCTGATCAATTAGAAGAGCCCGGGCTCATAACCTGTTATGGTTATGAGGTTATGTACGACGTCTTGTAGTCTGGAGCTTAATAGTCTGCGGAGCTGAGGGTAGAGCAAGGTGTGGAGATTAAATTAATTAGAATCTATATGTACATATATATGTATATAAAGGGATGAAGCGGCACAGTCTATCTCTACAAGAGAAGTGTTCCTAATACCTTGCGCACGAGCCTCGGTTAATCCCTCACTGTACCTTGCTAGCCACACTTGGTTTAGTTCAAGTAATGTCTCACTGCTTACACACGCCCATCCATACTGTATATCACAACAGGATATGATAGGGCAAGAGTGATGGCAGAAACTCTGGCGGTTTTTAACTGTAACAAAATCTTACAGTAAGAATGAATCATAAACAGGGGGTCAAAAGATCAACAGAAATGCTTCTTGGGACCAGTTGGTGTGGTACGAGAATTAAGGTGTAGTGCAGGGCATTAGCACATTAGAAATTGTGATTATTGTTTGTAATATTTTTTTTGTTCTGCGTTCCTATTTTCTATGAAACAAAAATATAGGTAGCGAAGAGTCCTATAGATCAAGACTACCCGTGCCATGCCCTCTTGGTGCTGGGGCAGTACCCGGTCACAATAATAATAATATTTGTGAGCAGATGCATATCTAAGTATAGTCAGCTCTAGTTATGCAGTCATGTAATATATAAGGACTGGGAGTTATGCAGGCATCCAAGGTGATCCGTGCGTACATATACATAAGAAGGGCGGTCTTTCTAGTCAAGCCTAGCCAAATAACCTTAGTGATTTTGTTGTAACACGAGATTGAGCCAATAATGTTTACAGTATCATATCTCATCATAGCTCCATTATATTCAGGTGCAAGAATAATTATGTTTGACCAACAGTAATTTAATTTAACAGTTACTCTAATTGCAATTGGGAATTAACCTTATCAAAAATCAGCCATCTCCCACCATAAAGTTACGATGCTATGTATACCCGCGAGGAGGAAATTAAGTCATAATCTACAAAGCTCGGGTCTTGGTCTTTGGGGGACCGTTACTCTAATGGGGCTTCACATCTTGAAAGAAGATAGGCATCTAAGACGTGGGACGAACGATTGAAGAGGTCACTAATGGGCATGCTGAGAAGCATATTTTTCGAGCGTTTTCGACTTAAGGGTGTCTATGGGCGCAGAGGCTAAGATTTCGGATAGTACAAGCCACACTCTAAAAAAAAGGCAACGATGGAAGGTGTTTTGGTCCGCATATTAGTCGTCATCTCCCCGAATTAAAGTCTGGGTAGCTTGGACTCGTACCTCACTCGAGAGAGGGAAGACTGTGAGGCCATGTCTCGCGCGGTGGCTATATATATAAAATGACAAAGGTATGTTAAGGTAGCCAACGGTTTTTCCTGTTTTCCCTTTAGTGGATATTAACGGTTGAGGGAAGGTTGAAAGTCCCTAGCACCAAGGTCTCGAGTGGTATCAGCATATGCACCCACTAAATTGGTAATACAAATGTTAAACTGAGCCATCGTCGTATATAGTCGTTGGCGAAGGACTAGCCTTCTCCGTGTCATGCTCTATGAGCGCTAGGCTTGTGCCCGTCACGAATAAATATTAATTCATTTATTTATTCCAGAAACTATCTCATCCACAATAGAATACTCTATACACGTTCTTTAACTTACATGAAAGTAGGGGTTTGTTTTTATTAGAAAGTAGGGTCTATGATCTGTAATACTGAGTGAAATATGACTACTATGATCACTGGATCGGATGGCGCGGCACTAGGTTTTCCGAGATCTTCTCCAAGTAAGGGCCTGAATAGCATAGACATCTTTTCGGTTTATATAGGAGAAAGCTTGTTGAATCTAAAAAACCCTTGATGCTCGAAATAATTTTACGTAGATTGATGTAAACATGGTTTGATTACCCAAGGTCGAAAAACTTCTTACTATTATACAATCATGAGAAAAGTTTGACTGAACTCGGTGAACAAGACGTAAACAACTGGTATACGAAATAATTTTTAGGAAATTAGTGTCTAGTTTTTAGGGTGTCAAATTTAATGTGCTCAATACACTTATCATAGATCATGAGCAGGTGCCTGTATGTACAATTGAAGATTAAATCCCTCTTTTTTCGCTTGTTAGGAGCTCTGTTCATCACTCCACTAGGACCGTGCGAATAGCTCTTTAGAACAATGACCTGACCCAAATCAGTTGATATTTGATAGATGAAATGGTATACCGTCTTCCTCCTTTATTCTAGTACATGAATTATGTTAACATGGCAAAGCCCAACTTCAAGGTTTCCATAAGATGCCAACTTTAATATTAAGTTTTGAACTCTCAGTCTAATAAATGCTGATATGTTAAAGATCACCAGTTAGAAAGATTAAATTTTGATTAAAGGGTCGGATTCCAGCCCAAAGTTAATTCCGCCTGATTTATTGAGCAGTACCTCCAATAAATTATACATGGCTAGCCTTACCTAGCAAGAGGACCTTTCACCCCTAACTATAGTCTTAAAATAGTATTATCCATCAGTCCCAGAACTTCGGAAGGCCGCACATAAAGCTGCATAATGATGCGTCAAATCAAGGACGTTCTGTGAAAGGCTTGTGGCTTGAATAATACTTCGGATCTTTAATGCACCCTCATCTTCGATTAAGGTCCGAATAATGTAGAGGAGCTCTGGACTGAACTCTGAATACCATCTGTACTGCCAAGTGATAAGGCGAATTACACTGGCAACCGTATCACGGGGATTTTTTTCCACCTCAAAGTCAGATAAAATTCCCTTTAGAGCTTTAGGTGAAAAACGTATCGAGAGACACGCACGGTAAGCTTCAATGGCTTCGCTTTTATGTTGGAGGCGCTCAGCAAGAGAGCCCAAGATTTCCCATTCTTCTGCTGATTTTTTATAATGCATTTGTTGCGCACGATACTGAGCCATTTCAGTTCGCCAGATAGTGTAGATCCGAAGATCTTCGTAGAGGACCATGAAAAGGCTATCAAGCCATCGCTCACAGAGGCGCTTATTATTGAAGCGAGAAAGTTGTTCTTCTGTCTGCTCAACCTGTTAATAGTTAGTAGATGCCTCGCTAGGAACTGGATAGATAGTACAGTTTCGTTTTCATTCTGCACCTCTTCTGGGGTAATAGTATGAGTTGGTCTTTCTACTGATTCATCGACATCCGGCTGTTGTGAGACTTTCTCCGCAGAGGTGGTGGATTTTGGTGAAAGAGGTTCTACGTGATCAGTTTTTGTGATTATTTGGTCCCCATTCTCGCGAAGATTAGGACTCCCTCTGATAACGTCTGTGCTGGTGTTTCGTTGTGTTGGCCCAGTTTGATGCCCCGGAGGGTTCTTTTCACTACGATATTCCTCTTCCATCACGAAGACATTACTCCTTATTTTAAGAAGTTGATCCCATCCAATCTTGGCCGTCATTTCTGTCAAAATACTGTAGGCGTGTTTGAATGTGCCCTTATATTGAACTGCCCTTAAGCTTAGTAAGCTTGGATGGACCTGCTCGCTATATTTTGGCTCTGCTTCGCTATCAATTTCTTCAAGACGAGTCTCGGATAGCATAGGAAGATAAATGTCTTTCGGCTCAGGCATCAGGGGCGCATCTTTATCCTGATAGGTAAACATTGGACATGAATTTAACGTCGTAAGGGCATTCTCCCAATCCTCCATTGCGACATAAACCTCTGCCAGTCTAGCCCATGTACCAAATTCGCTTGGCGCCGCAACTGTACTTCTGTCGGCACATCCTAGAGCTATTTGAAGTCTTTCTTGCTTGAACTGTTGTGCCTTGGGATTTAATGCTTTTTTCACCAGAAATTCGGCTTGTGTATCTAACATAACATAGTCCATAGGGGACTGTTTTACTGAGTTGTGTAGAACTCGGACCGCCTTTACTTCTTCATTTCCCATCAAATATACTTTAGCTAGGAGAGATGAAACCTCGACGTTTTTTGTTCTCAGTTTTTCGAAAAGGTTGATACCAGAGGTAAATCGGCCAGTCGTTTGAAAATATTTGAGAAGCCCAGATGTGAGATGATTTGAGACATTGTTCGGTACCTGAACTACAGACGAAGACCCCAATTGCCAACCTGGAGGATCAGTTGAGAACTAGCTGATAGAGGAGCACAAACCTCTGAAAAACAACTGCTCCGCTGCCTGAAGAAACTTGTGTTCATTTTCAGTTGTTGTTATTGGATTAAATCTGCGGACGCCTATTATTTTTCGGATAGTATCTCCGCTACCGTCGTCCGCATAAGAATATGCTCGTAATACACTACATAAGTATGTCTCTAGCCATAACTCATCGGAAGTAGTTCTTTTCTCTCCCCTCTCGTCAACGCAGTAGCTATCTACACTACCAGGTATCGTTACGTGTACGCGCATGTCCAGCCTAGAAAAGGCATTGTAACAACTGGTCAGAGTTAGTAATGGTAGAAATCTACGTATTTTTCTTACCAATAAACACCTTCAGCAATCTTTTGGGTTGACTGATTGGTTTCTTTATAAGTGAGAGTATTAATGTAAGCAGCTAGGCTGGCGGAGGATGAAGCATCTACTCCTGTGACATGATGGTAAACTCCAACCTTTCGATGGTTAGTCCAATTTTCTGCCGTATTATCAAAAGCTTGAACTTGCTTGTTTCAAGGGATTCCTCGGAATTTGCTTGATTAATTGAACGAGATCTGGTGGTCCTAATTCTCGAAGGGTGGCAAGCACCTCTGTCCGGGAATCGATAGACTCATGCAGAATCTCTTCAGTCAACCTGATCTAGTGTTAATATAATTTACCAATGATCTTATGACTGATGATTTACTTACTCCGGGACGGCTGGCGCAACCATCCTGGCCTTTTCTCTGCTTCCAAGACTTCGGCGTTCTAAGTTTCCGTATGAATGATTTAAGATCCGCACACTCTGATTGTTTTGATGTGAGGCAATTCAGTGATACAAGAGAATATAAATCTGATCTTAAGAGTAATTATCCTCAGCAGGTTTTGATATGGCAATATGTCCTATCTGCAGTGGATGAAGCATTACTTGCATCGCACGGCCGCGCCCAAAAATTATTCAATGCAAATATACGGGTCGCCCTACAGATTGTTTTCTCGCAGGTCCGCAACAGTTGCTCACATGTTTAATTTTTGGACTCGCATTATTAACCTTTGAGTGGCAAACAAAAATACTCGTCAGTAGAATTTGTAATATCTTCTGAGATAATTGTATTTGTGTGCCATAGAGATGTGCGATTAGAAAACTCTCCACTTCTGCTGACCTACTCGTTGTAACCTTGGGCTATGTATCAGATACCACCCTGCGGAACATTTACAATACCAAAAATTTAGAGCTAGATTGTATTGTAAAACTGACTATTGCGTGCGTACCAAACACAAATTTGGTCTAGATGTCCTAAAAGCTCGGCCACGTTCTGTATACACGTGATCCTGGGCAACAAGCAACTTGTGTAGACTGTTTTTCCAACTGCTATCTCTGGTTAGTTATGAATTATTCACCTTGCAGTGGTGCCGGTGTAATCGCTCAGTATGCTCTGCATATCTGGGATAGCCAAGAAGAATCGCATCCGAATCGAGGCCTAAAGCAATAACATCCATATCTCTATTTGAAGACTCCTCAATCATGCAGCGCTGACCATTATCCTCTGAGTCCTCAGCCTCTTTCTAACCACACGTCATTTCGCTACAACGACCGATAAAGCCGTCACCCCAATTGCAAACAGGAGCTTGCCTCAATCATTACCGGCCATCACTCACTGCAAATTTACGACGCTACTTATACCCGCAAGGAGGAAATTAAGTCATAATATACAAAGCTGAGGTCTTAGCTTGAGGGGTACTGGTGCTCTAATGGGGTTATACATCTTGAGGAAGGACAGGCGGCTGAGATGTGGAACAAGAGAGGGAACAGGTCTTTGAAGGCCGTTCTGGGACTGACATTTTCGAGGAGTTTTCAATTTGGAATTTTTGTGGGCGCCAAGACCGAGATTACGGCTAATTAGCCAGGAGGACTTCTATTGTCGATGAGTCAACGGCACTCCCCAGTGCCTCGGACGGCATAAAAGAAGCTGGGCTAAGCTACCGTGCAGCAATCACGTTCTGTCAAGACTTTTCTGACATTTCAGCACGACCTTCGGGATGGGGTTGGAAGGAGGCTAGAAAGGTAGAGTGTAAATTCTCCGAGGTACCCACAAGTCTGCAGCGCCCAGCTGGCCGGCCTCTTCGAACGCTTTAGAAGGATCACTATGTCTTCGGATTTATTCCTAATGTCGGTATTAGAAGAGCCCCGCACCCAGTGGTTTTTGCGATTTTTCCCGGCTGCTGTACACCCGCAAATGGCCATCGTTTCGTTGGATGAAGAGGGGAGATAATGAAGAGCAAAGGGCTATTTTAAGTGTATGATCGAATGAGGACTTGTGAGGGGTGGTACTGTTTGAGGGGAGCTGTATGGGAGGCATAGGAGGGGATATACTACTGGTAAAGGTATCCTTAGCCTGTAGGTAGAGAGGACCTGCATGTCCTACACAGTCATAGACTCAGACAGGACAATAAAATGAATTAATAAAACCTTAGTAGGGCCCAAAGCAGTATTGTAGTTCAGATAAGAAGTGAGCACATTGGTCTCAATTCGTATCTGTATCTAAGGAAAGTTCTCGGAGTGATTGATCCAAAATGTCAGTGTAGATATCCGTCTCAAAATGTCAAACATATGGTCTTGGCGTGTCCTCAGTGGGCAATAGGAAGAGGAGAGGTGCTTCGAAAAGCAAAAGACAGGTCATTTGCGGCAATGATGAACAGCCCAGATGACATAGATAGAATTACAAAATGGATCCTGGCAAAAGGCTGGTTTGAACAATTCCGGCTTGCAGAAGAAGTAGAAATAGCATTGGACGAAAGGATGAGACGATGTGGACAAGGATAAGACGGATTTCACACTGTATAAACAGTGTAATTGCACTTCCTGTAGGAAACCTCAGAAAAAAAATAGACAAGACAGACAGTTGTAGGGGGTTTTTACCGAATTCGGTTTCCTCCTGTGTAAATATTATAGCTAGTTATACCTGTATGGGCCCATAGGGTACATGAACGAGCTAAATGAAATCAAATCAAAATGAGTTAATAAAAAAAATACTTCTATCTAGGATGTTCCGAGCCTGTGGATTAGAAGAGATGCACAGGCCTCTCCCGATTAGTCAGCTAGAAATGTAAGCAGAGCCTATTGGCCTGAGGTTGCAAAATCTTACTTGAGTATTTGTCAACCTAACCATGACCTGCATCCAAAGCAATGTGAAACTGACAAGAAAGTACATACAACCCTGTAGGCTAAGTGCGCCAAGATCTCACGTGAGACATACTGAGCTCTAAACGTTTTACCTGATGTTATCTGTGAAAATATTCTGTAACTGTTTGTACTCATGTAATCATGTACGAGTTGTATTCCTGTAACTATCTATATTCGTGTTATCTACAACTCGTAAACTTGTACTAGTATTAGTCATTCCTGACAGTTGCTGTTTGCAATATTAGAACTAATCATGTTATTACTTCATACTTAGGACTATTTGACACATTAAGCTTGCACAATAGTATGGGGAGATTATATGGTCTGTATGTGGGTGATCAGATGAAGGATGGAAGTGTTGAAATATTATATATCTTGGAATGCCAAGAATAACTTATTAGTAAGTCCGGCTGATTTGACTATCAAATTCCCCATTCTATATCACTGTTATCAATACATCATTCACCGAAAGTTTAATGCGCATTAGCGTTTATTTCACACTAGCATTCCAGCAGATGACTATGTCTCAAATGCAGGTTATAGTTTTCTCGTATCTATTACCAACACACATGTATTTAGCTTTATATTCCTGACCCATATATGTGTATGTACATAGATCTACATCTACATGGATCATAACTTACGATCCATGGAGATTGATAAATACTGGTCAAAAACCACAGTTGATAAGATATGCGAACACGCAATCTCACTCTTATCATCTCGGTTTTTACTCCGAACCATACATCTAAATACAATTGTTTCCACTCGGATCTTCCTCTCAAAACCTCTTACGGGACTTACTGCATCAGTCTAACCACCGACAATGATTCCGCTATAACCTCCATCTTTGCTCAAGCTCATAACTTTAACAGGAAGGACTTGTATTTAAAGAGAGATGGAATACTTCATGAAGACCAATCAATGACATTTCTTCACTCTGGGTGTGACGGCTGTTAAGCCTAAGGGTTCCTGTAGCCTACGCTGTCTAGCGCAGGCAATTATACGAAGGGAGGTTCCTGGGAAGATCTTGGATGACAGGGAACCTAGATGATTCACATTGAGCCTTGTTGAAACCTACTGAGAGTTCATGAGGGGTACAGAAGTATCAAGGATCTACAGGCAATTGTCGGAGAGTCTGAGTTGACAGGTCATAGAGAGAACCTTATCAAGGAGGGTTATTTCAGTCTGTATATATAGGTAGTCAATAAGTACAGAAATTCTCTCTTCAGAGAATTATAATTAAAATATTGTACCTACAACATTGCTCATGCATTTTGTAATGAAACCGTGACACTGGGATAAACTTCTTACTCCCAATTTATCAACAGTATTCATTTCATTGTTATATTCAACGTCCAATTTGGCTTTTATATACAGATCCATGAAGCCGGTAAGCCGCTTTAGTAAGGGAAAAAGCTTTCAACAAACAAAATCCGATGTCCTGCCACTCTGAGCCGACCTGGCTTAATGCTGAGGACGTTCCTTTCAACCACAAATTTATAAACTTTCCCCAGAATTCGTTAACTTCCCATTCAATCAGACTAAAGTTATGAGAAATTAAAGAGAGAAGGCACCTCCTTACTTGGCGTTGGTCTTCGAAGTGTTCGAAGAGTTGGCCCCAATGGTGGTGCTGCTGTCAAGACAATGGTTGGTGCCACTGGGGCTTCGACTACCTTACGTGGTTATCTCGGCCCTCTTTTGAATCTTTCAGCCTTCTTACTGATGACCAAAATGAATCCCTGATAATCAGTTGTTTCGACCGTTTGCATTGGTGCCATAGTAGGTTTTTCGTTCCATATATCTGCCGTTCTTGATAACTGTTGTAATCCTAGTCCGTGCTAACATAATGTAGAGACGTGCATGGTCTAGATCATGGATCAACATAGTCGCTGTGCCTACACAATTGAGGTAAGCTACGTAGTGGTTGTAGAGATTGGTTGAGCATCAGGATGTTGAGAAGTGGTAGCAGTACACGGACTAGCTTCTCATATATTTAGACAGGTGGTCAGGCACTGCCCCCCAAAAGTGTCCAAAATAGATCACATCATTTATCCATCATACTTTAGCAAATTATAATTCCTCCTAAAGTCTACATTTCAGTTCTCGTACATTATATCACAACTGACTCTAAGTCCATCCCAAGAATATCTCCATTGCTCATCATTTACAAAAATAACAGCTCCATGCGAGCCTTCTGCACACTTCCCTTGTAGACTCTGTAGGCCCGACAAGCTGTTTTTTGCCATAAACGGTGTTCCTTGCTGCAGTTCGTGCAAGAAACCCTTTTCCTAAGACAGTCCCGAGTTTGGTGAGCACCTGCGCACTCACCGCACCTAGCTGCCTTTCCACATGACGCTTGTGTGTATCCCCACTGGCTGCAGTTGTAACACTACTTTGGCTGGGCTTGTGGTGACCACACCTGCGCGGTGAAGAGCATGGCATTAATTACAAGGCCCTTTCGAACTACCTCTGTTAGCAATGCCTCTGATGGGAGGCTGACCACAATTGATCCTCGCTTGCGACCGTTTTTCTTCGATCGCTGATGC